AATTTATCCTAAGGACAAATGCAATTCAGAAATTTATTCCTTGTAAGTGATTAGAATTTTGCACAATGAATCACAACCAAGTATGTTTTTAGAAGCATTACTTGAAACAGAGAAGAAAGATCATCTTATGAGTAATACGACATTAGTGTTTAGCATTTAGTGTTAAGTGAAAAGAAGCATGTCATGGAACAACAGCTTGTTGTTGTTGTGTGCTATCAAATCGATTTTGACTTATAGAGACTCCATATGACAGAGTTGACCTGAACCATAGGATTTCCTAAACTTTAATGCTTAGGAAAGCAGATCGCCAGGTCTTTTGTGGAGCAGCTGGTGGGTTCAAACCACCAACCTTTTGGTTAGCACCTGAGCATTTAACCATTGTGCCAACAGGGCTCCTTAAAAATACATGGGAAGATCCAATTTTCATTAGAAAACCTAAGTGTCTATAAAAACATAGAAAAAGCTAGCAAATATGCATTTAACTATTGGTGAAGTGAAATATTTTTAAAGTCCAGAAGCTATTTAAGGAAAAGAGTAAGTAAACATATCCACAAACCAGAAAAGATGTTTTGAAAAACCTAGGGTGAAAGTTATGCAAGGGTGATTAAAGTTACTTGCTAAAGGATTTATTAGATTATGAGATGTAATATGATGCAACATCAGATTTAAGAACACTAGGTGTAAAGTCAAGTTCTAGATCAGTAGGGTGATTGTTCTGTGTTCTATTTAGTATCTCCCAAAGTTCTACGTGGGTCCAAATGAAATGAAGTCCTTGTACGAAACGTCTGTGAAAATAGCAAAGCCCCATCCAGATACAGGTCCCCCCACACACACACCTTTTTAAAAATTTTTATTGCAATTTGGGTGAAAGTTTACAGAGCAAATTCATTTTCCATACAGCAGTTCATACACATTTTGTTTTATGACATTGACTGCAATTCTCCACAACGTAGCAGCTCTCTTCCCACTTCTTCCCTGTAGTTACGTCTTCCTTGTGTCCTTTCCTATGAATTCCTGCCCCCTGAGCTATCTCTCTTTGCAAATACTGCCCTTCGGTTCTCCCACAATTGCAAGATACAGCTTCTTGCTGTTGTTCTTATGCAGACCCATGAAAGAATCCCACTGCTAGTGGAAATCTGCCTTTCTTTTCTTCATGACATTGTGTGAAGATCAAGGTCAGAGATTATTCTGTATCCTTCTAGTCTTTTCAACCCTATTTCTCGTCTCTGCTTTCCCTCAAGTCTCCTTTTTCAGTTTCCATGTAGGATAGTCATAGTGATACCAATGTACTCCTATCCCTACCAGACTACAGTGTTGCATCTGTCCTTTCTTGGCCCTCTGCGTCACTTAGTGCTAGAGCACTATAAACTATTCCTAGCCTCTCCCCACCCCCATGGTTCATCAAAGAGAAAGCTGATGCCCTGATGGTCTCAGTGGCAGATGGTCAGAGGGGTTGGGTGACAAAACCAGAGGCAGAAGAAAGGCCAGAGGGCCCCAGAGAAGGAGGCCTTGGGGAAAGTGAAGATGTGGGACCCATCAGGCACACTGTAGAAGGAGACATCCCTAGCCTCATAGTCCAAGAAGATCCCCAGCCGGCTAGGGGGCTGGCTCAAGGGGAGGAGGGTCCGAGGAGAGGTTAGGGCTTGATATGTGTCAGCACACAATTCCACAGCCCAGAATCCCGTTTGAGGTGACTCTGTGATTCCCCATGCCCCTTTTATGTTTTCTTCGCAAACCCCAAGCTCTCAGTAAGTCCTGTCTCCCACTTCTACTTCCCAGTAATGCTGCCCTGAAGAGAAGGCCTCATTGCCCAGCACGCAAGGGTCAAGAAAAAATCTCCCAGGATTCTCGGGCAGATCCTGCCATGTGTTTTGCCGCATCACAGTTCGGTGATCTTCAGATAGATAGAGTTCAGGATAAGCAGAGTCTGGATCCAGAGTCACATTAGCTTTGGAAAGAGTGAGAGAGAAGGGTGCCAGGTCAATTCTGGCATCTCAGACCCACGATGATTCAGAATAGGGGTAAGACATTGACCTAACACTTAAAGTTCCTCTCCTTCCTTCTCAAAATTGCTTGAGTGATAAGTACCTCTCCAAATGTCCCATAGGACATACTCAAAGAACCACTTGGAGAGCTCAGACACTTTTATAAGGAGGACTTAACTCACTGCCATGGAGTCGGATCCGACTCATAGTGACCCCTCCATGGGTTTCTGAGGCAGTGTCACTACGGAAGCAGATTGCCCAATCATCCTTTGGAGGAGTGGCTGGTGGGTTTGAACCGCTAGCCTTCTGGCTAGCAGTCACATGCCTTAGGCGCTATGCCACTAGAGCTCCCATTTATAAGGAGGAAGTACTCTTTATTTTCTGAAATCCAGAGGTCCCAGGGAGTAGGGACAGCTAAGCAGGAATACCATCCCCCACCCCCCATCATCCTCCATTGCTCTCAATATTTTGTACAAACGACTCCACTGTTGCTGCAATATTATATTTGTTTTGTGTCTCTTTCCTCTACTAGACTAGGACCCAAGAAAATAAAGTTGGTTTGTTATCTTTGTGCACTCACTGTCTGGAAGTCAATCCTGACTCATACTTGGTGCTTAATAAATGTTTGTAGAATGAAGAAATGGAAAATAAAAAGTAGATATGAGGACTTTTAGAAGGAAGAACTAACAGAACTTTATACAAGTTTGGTCTGAGTTGCCAGTGGGACATTCCAGGTAGATAAATTTAGAGAGCAGGTGAACTTGGACTTTGGGAAAGAAATCTTGAGGTAGGAACCTGGGAAGGTTTAAGGAGCATGTGGAGAATGAGATATGAGTCAAAGAACTCATGTGAGCATCCACATTTAGTGGGCAGACAAGGAAGAAAAGTCAGTATTCCTTGAGTCAGAATCATTTGTGTGACCTTGAGCAAGTTACTTGATATTTCCAGGTCTTCTTTATGTGGATTACAAGAATAAGGGATTGCAAGGGGAGGGGCACAGCCTAGTGGTTAAAAGTACAGGCTCTGGGACCAGACTCCCTGGACTCGTATCCCAGTGCCACCACTTCCTAGATATGTGATTTGGAGCTAGGTTTTTTACTTTGTGGATTAATTCCTGCCGTTGGAAATGGACACAATAATAGCACCTACCTCCTAGAGCTGTTAGGAGGGTCATTAAATGGGAGAATCCATGTAAAGCACTCAGACCTCTGCCTGGTACGTGGTAAAATGAAACAAAACAAAAAACCCAAACCCATTGCCATTGAGTCGATCCCGACTCATAGCGACCCTACAGGACAGAGTAGAACCACTACACAGGATTTCAAAGGCTGTAATCTTTACAGAAAGCAGAATGCCACATCTTTCTCCTGTGGAGTGGCTGGTGGATTCAAACCAAGCACTTTCACCACTGCACCACCAGCATGGTGTTGTTGTTGTTGTTGTTGTTATATGCCGTGGAGTCGGACCCGACTCATAGCGACCTCTCCTTGGGTTTCCGAGGTGTATCACTTCGGAAGTAGATTGCCCAACCTTCCTTCCAAGGAGTGGCTGGTGGGTGTGAACCGCCAGCCCTCTGGTTAACAGTCAAATGCCTTAGGCACTATGTACCAGAGCTCCCACCAGCATGGTAGTAGGTACTTAATAAATGTTAGCTACTTAAAAGATAACGCACTGCCATCAAGTCGTTTCTGACTCATAGTGATCCCCATTGTGTTTCAGAGGTTGTAAATCTTTATAGAAATAGATCACCTGGTCTTCCTTCCATGGAATAGCTGGTGGGTTTGAACCGCTGACCTTTCAGTTAGTAGTCAAGTACCTTATCCACTATACCTCCTTACAAAATTTTATTTATCCTTCCTTTCTAGGATCTTCCACAAGGAAGCCAATGATGAGGCGGTACCACTGTTCTGAGGGAGCTTTGGTGATTAGAGTTACCAGATCTTCTCTATCATGTACATAACCCACTCAAGACTGAACGTCATTTGAATGGAAGCTTTCTAGTTGTACCCTTGTTGCTATTGTTGTTATGTACCATCAAGTTGGACCTGACTCATAGCGACCCCTCCTTGGGCTTCTGAAGCATTATCACTACGGAAGTAGATTGCCCAACCTTCCTTCTGAGGGGTGGCTGGAGTTGTACCCTTAGCCTATGTGAAGTATTGAGTAGTAGAGAGAAAGAAAGGAAGGAAGGAAGGAAGGAAGGAAAGATGGAAGGAAGGAAGGAAAGAAGGAAGGAAGAAGGGAGGGAGGGAGGGAGGGAAGGAGAAAAGAAGGGGGGACAACTTTAAGAAGGAAAAAGATAAAAGGCCTAAATTAGTGGAGAGAAAAAAGACACAGATGCTGGACTTGGATTGATACAGTTCTTAGTATGATGATCCTCAGATCTTCTCAGGGCTTCCATTCACAGCCTGCTTGCCAGGCCACTTATTGGAACTTGAAGATGGAGAAAAGACCAATAAGAACTTTCCTTACAGAGGCTTATACCTGAGACCTTAGGAATTAGATAGCCACTCACCAGCATGGGTCTGAGCTTTTCTCCAATCTGTAACAGAGAAAAAACAAAGATGAGTGCTCCCAGAATGGAGTCATAAATTTCTTGTTTCTGTGCTCTGGTTGCCTTTCCTCCCCTCTTTGGTGCCATCTTCACTCATCTCCATACTTGACAGATTGATCCTGCTCACACTCCTCACAAGGATAGTGTCCAGGAATGTGGAGTCCACAGGAAATGGGCTCTTTTGGAAATGACCTCAGACTCCACTGGGGGATCTTCATCCACCCCCTTCATGCCTCAAACTGGACTTCTGGATCTTAGTCAATGAAAACACCACCAAATGCAAACTCACGTAAAGGCTGCCATCATGGGACACAGCCCTGAAAGCAGGACAGATGACTCTAGATTTCCCCTTCCTTTCCCTGTGATCATAGTCTGCTCACTCCCATGGCCAGGGACTTGATCCTCTCTTTTCCTTCATCTTTTCCAAGAGCTGGTGCAATGTCCTGCATTGGCCAACTGCCTGGAAATCCATCTCTTTTATTTAGTTAGCTTCATCAGACAGTGTCCATTTCTCATAGTTATGTCACCTCTTGCTTCCATTAGAAACTCCCAGGAGTATAACTGAATAAAAGAGCCATATTTCTTTATGGCTTTATCTGGGGAGTTCCTAGTATGTCTCAGGCACTATGGCTTACAGTATGCTAACTCATGATTCTTTCTCTATATGTTTTCATCCACGGTGCACTAGCCAAGGGTTCCAGAACAGGTTTACTAACCACTCACTGGTCCTATTTCTTCATCTGTAGGCTAAGGATGAGACTAGCACCTTATCTGTAAGTTATTTGGGTAGGACTTAGAATAACATCCATGACATAACAACCCTCAGTGAATGCCACTGCCCTCCATTATGAAAGGTTTGATTACGATCTTTGTACTGATGACTCACAAATCTATATTCCCAGGAGGTATCTCATCTTGCATAATATAACTGTTCTTATTAGGGCCCAGATGTTGGGAGGCAGGGAGACTAGGTAAAAGGCTATCATAACATCTAGCCAAGAAATTATTAGGGCTTGAAACAAGACTGTTGTCTCAGGGATGGATAAGAAGGGAGTTGTTTGGTTATTTCTAAAAGTAATGGCTAATAATTATATAGAACTTACTATGTGTACTTGACAAGGAGCTCTGATGATGTAATGTTTAAAGCATTTGGCTGCTAACCAAAAAGATGGCAATTCAAACCTACCAGCTGTTCCTCAGGAGAAAGATGAGGCAGTCTGCTTCTGTAAAGATTTACAGCTTTTGAAACCCCATGGGCCAGTTCTACTCTGTCCTCAAAATTCACTGCCGTCGAGTCAGATCCGACTCACAGAGACCCCTCCTTGGGTTTCTGAGGTGGTATCACTATGGAAGTAGATTCCCCAACCTTCCTTCCAAGGAGTGGCTGGTGGGTTTGAACCTCCAGGCTTCTGGTTAGCAGTCAAATGCCTTAGGCATCTGTCCTATAGGGTGGCTATTAGTTGGAATCGACTCTATAGCAGTGGGTTTGGTTTTGGTATGTGGTTGACATTATGCTTAATGTTTTACATGCTTTGAGACATCATAACAACACAGGTGGTAGTATTCTTCTTTCCCTCATTTTACAAATGAGGAAACTGAGGTCAAGAGAGGTTAAATAACACCCAAGTTCACACAGATGGTTACTGGCTGAGCTGGAACTTGAGCCAAGGGAGTCTGACTTGAGTCTGTGTTCTAACCAGAAGTGGTGGGTAAGAGAGAAAGAGGAGTTGAAAATGATTGTTAGTTGATGCCATTCACTCAGATAAAGAGAGAGAACAGGTTAGTGGGAGTTTAGTTTTGGATACACTGACTATGAGATGTCTCCGAAGCCTTTAAAGGGAGGCCCCCGGTAGGCACTGGGTTCAGGGAGTGGGCTGGAATTGAGACAGAAACCCAAGGCTGTGGGATAGCGAAGCTATAGGGTAGAGCCTTGAAAGTGGATTAGATCCTGCAGAGAGTGTGTGGTGTGAAAAGAGAACCAGGACTGCAACCGAACCAACACCAGCAGGTAAGAGGCAAGCAGGTCAAGGTTTCTGAGAAGGACCTCCCCAGGAGCAGGAAAAGAACCAAGAGAGGGCGCTAGGAATTTTTAAGGAGGATGCCAAATTAGAGAGGAAGACTTACTCAGGGAGGTCAGTGAAGAAAGAACAAAGAAGTATACACTGGATTTAGGGACTAGAGGCCATTAGTGCCTAGCAGGAACAATTTTTATGGTATGGTAGAGGTTGTGGTCAGGCATGATGGGGCTGAGGACTGAATGGCAGAGAAGGAATGGAGGTCAGATGTGTTCTGTTTTTTGTTTTTTTTTTTTTCCCGAGACCTTGCTTGTGTAGAAGTAGAGACCTAGAGGGAATAGGGATATTGTCCAGGCAATGGGGGAAGCGAGGGCTGGTTAGGGTAAGAGATGCTTGAGCTTGTTTATAGGATGTAGTGGACAGTGTAAAGATTTACAGCTTTTGAAACCCCAAAATGGCCCTCACCATGGTCTCCCCTCTCAAGGTGTAAGAGATTATAACCTTGCTACTTTACAGCTAGTCTCAGCCCCACATCTGGAAATATTTCTTAAAACATGTCAAATCCAGTCCCTCCTCTTCTCAGAACCCTCCAGTGCTTCCCCTCTCAGAAGCCCAGCTGATATCAGCGTGGTAACTCTCAAGACCTTCCAGACTCATCTGCTCATTGTCCCCTCCTATTCTCCTTGTAAGGAGCTCTGGTAGCATAGTGGCTAAGGCACTTCACTGCTAACCAGAAGGCTGGTGGGTTTGAACCACCAGCCACTCCTCGGAAGGAAGATGGGGCAATCTACTTCCGTAGTGATACTGCCTCGGAAACCCAAGGAGGGGTCGCTATGAGTCAGGGCCAACTAGATGGCACATAACAACAACAACAACATTCTCCTTGTCACTCTCCATAATCTAGCCACACCAGCCTCTGCTCCTCATCAAACACAACATGCATGCTTCTGTCCCTGGGTGTTGCAACTGCTGTTCTTTCTACTTAAAGTACTTTTCCCCTAGTTTTTCCTGGGGCTTGTTCCCCCGCTTCATTATCAGCCTACTTAAAATTGCAACTTTCTGTCCTCCTTACCCTGATTTATTTATCTCCTTAACACTTTTCATCACATAACATCCATATTTCACTTAATTATTTGTTTTCTGTCTGTCTCCCACCACTAGAAGTTTCTCTGGGCATAGAGACTTTCCATTTCATCAATTTTGTGTCCCCAGCACTTAAAACAGTGACTGACACGTAGTTGATGCTCATCGATCCTTGTCAAATGAATGAGTAGACTGAATAGAGAAGCCCCGAGGGAAGCCACAGAGTGATAGGTCATGGATGAAGGTGAAGAATTAGCCTCAGACAGTAGAAAAGACACCTGCCCCATTGAAATCAAAGGAAGCAGATGAAGGCCAAGTGCAGTTGATAAGACAGGAAGTTTGAGACCTCCCCATTCTATTTTCTCTCTGAGGTAGGAGATTGGGTAGCCATCTGGGACACATAAAAAGGATATGGTTATGAGGATGAAGGCTAATATTCACTGTTAACAGCTGTGTGCTCCCTCCTGTATTGAGTGCTTTTCACACCTTAGCTCATTTCCTAACATCTGCTCAGAGTAGTAGGCATGATCAGCTCAACTTCTAGATGAGAAAAATAGAGATTAAGAGAAGTTAAGCTGCCCCAGTTTGTCTGAATGGCTAGAATAAACAGAAGTTGGCCAGATGTATATTGACCAGACAGAAAAAATGGGCACAGAAGCATGAAACTACATGATGAGTTTGGGGCACTGTAGATGGTGTAGGCAGGCCAGTATAGGACATCATATATCAGGAGTGTCCAAAATAAAGCAGAACTAGAACTAGAACACTGAATGTTTGGGATAATGTGCCCACAAGGCACAAAAAGGCCAGGGAAGTTGACCATTGTTTTTTAAGTTGAATTACATAAAAAAGTTGAATATATTCTCAAACCCTGAGGGGGATGGAAGCCAGTATGAGAAATGCAGCATTAAAAGTTAAAAATCTGGACTTGTTGATTTGGGGACACTAACCTTTTGTTAAGAATGATGGAAAAATTTGCAAATGGATAATGGTGATGATAGAACAATATGATCAATATAATTAATGTCACTAAATTGTAAATTGTGAAGAACGTTGAAATGGAAAATGTATTGTTACATATATCCACCAGCCACTCCTCAGAAGGAAGGTTGGGCAATCTACTGCCGTAGTGATACCACCTGGGAAACCCAAGGAGGGGTTGCTGTGAGTCGGATCTGACTCGAAGGCAGTGAGTTTGTTTTTTGGTTATATTTACCATAACTTAAAAAAATGAATATTTAAAAATCTCTTACAGGGCTTGTTTGTCACTGAATATAACAATTAGCTTGAAAACTGGAACCACTCTGTGCTAATTGTTTATAAGAATATTAACCAGGTACAAGGAAACAGCTCAGGGGGCGGGAGTACATGGGAGGGAAGGACACAGGGAAGAGGTAACTGTGGGGAGGAAGTGGGAAGAAAGCTGTTACATTGTGGGGAATTGCAGGCAATGTCATGAAACAAAATGTGTATGAACTGCTGTATGGAAAATGAATTTGCTCTGTAAAGTTTCATCCAAGTCACAATAAAAATTAAAAAACAAAAAAGGGATATTAACCAGGTGACATAGAATCTGCTTAGGTTGTGATTTTTAGATTAAAATTGTCATAAAAATAATTTTCACATTTGAAAAAATTAGTTTTGAACTCTTACATCTCTATAGCACTTCTCACCCCAATAGAGAGCCAGAGGAGGTTTGAGAATTAAGAGGAATACAATCAGATTTCTATTTTAGCAAGTTTACTCCAAAACTTTAGACTATAGTCAATACTGTAATAACTTCTAAAAAGCAATACATTATCCGTAATGGTTATTTTTCTTATTTCTTATCTGTTTTTTGATATTTAAACTAAATATTTTAAACTAAAAGTTTAAGATTCAATATTTGTTTTAATTTTTAAAATTTCATATTTAAGTTGTAATTGCTAAGATATTAAACTAAAAGTTTTAAAGTGAAAAGAGTGGCAGTTGATCTTGGGGGAAGGTCAGCAGAAGCCTAAGGAATGGATTGGTTTGTGGGTGACTGCTGTTCAGAGAAGGCACATAGTAAACTGAGTCCCAGAAATCTGTGGTAAAAGACGAAAGGAAAAACTCGGGATGTGGCCTATGCTAGAGAATGCCCCCTGGGGCTAAGTGTGCACAGGGCTTGCCCACTGAGGAGTAGAAGAGAAAGGTACCTCCTTGGGTGGGTCACCATTAATTAAGCAAAGGGTTACAAGAAGAGGAGCAGGTTGTTGGGAAAGGATATGGAGTTCAGCTTTGGACACATATTTAAAGAAACTTTAGGGCATATGTTGTTGTTGTTGTTATGTGCCGTCGAGTCAGCGCCGACTCATAGCGACCCCTCCTTGGGTTTCCGAGGCAGTATCACTACTTAAGTAGGATTGCCCAACCTTCCTTCCGAGCCAGGGTGTATGGGTTATAAGGATTAAGACTCTTAATTGGGTAAGAACGAGCAAGGCTTCATGGAAAGAATAAAAATAAAAGCACCTAGTAAACGAGGCAGATAAAATCTTAAATTAAAATTAAAAAAAAATGTCCAGCTTACATACCATCCGCTTTCTGGGCTTTTCTCCAGTCTACAATAGAACAAACAAACCTCATAAGATAACTGGCATGTGAGAGGGCCTCAAATCGTGCACAGAGAAGAGGGAAGCACAGAACTTACTGAGTTCTTTTTGGAGTTTCTCTGCAAAAGGACAAGAAATTAATCAGTACTGTTCACGTTAGAGGAGCCAGGTTGATTTGGCAAAGGGCCCTCTGGGAAACGCTCTTCCTGAGGAGTGTGTGCAGTGAGTCCCATGAGCTGTCATACAACCCGAAATTCTAGGTCCCAGTCAGGGTTACTGCTTGGGCAAAGGAAATGGAATAAGCTCGCGACTATCTAGTGAGGAAGGACTGAATTAAAAATCCCAGTGAAAAAAATCCCCTGATCCTCTTCATCTCTGTCTAATCCCATGTTCCATAATCTTTCTTGGACCTCAGTGCCTCAGTCTTCAGGGTTTCTTACCTTTGATCTGGCATTCTAGCTCTTTCTCCTGGCGCAGTTTCCAGATGAAGCCAAGAGCACCCATCAGGAGAAGCCCCAGGACAAACAAAACTGAAGGCTGTGCTGCTGCACAAGGATAGCCCTTCATGAGACAGTCCAACCTGGAATAGCTGAGCTTTACTCCTGTAGAGAAAAACAGAAACGTCTAACAGCTGTGGGGTGCTAGAGCCACATAGAGTCCCAAAAGTCAGGGTGCTTCTCTAACAAATACCTAAAAATTTGGCAGTACTTTGGAATTGGCTAATGGGTGGCAGATGGAAGAGTTTTGAGGTGTTTGATAGTAAAAGCCCAGAATTCCTCAAGGACTCCCAAAGATCCTTTGTCCGCTTTAATCCAGGGGCCCTTGCTAGAAAGAACAGTGACTTCAGTTTTTCCCCATTTTCTCCCACAGAATGGTTGGGAAACCAAGAAACCAACCAAACCAAACAAAACAAAAACCCAGTGTTAAATTGAAGAGACCTGAATCACCCCTGAAATACAGGACAGAAACTGAGATGCTGAGGAATGAGCAGAATTTGTTCCCTTTCTCTCAAATCATGAGAAGAAGGGCCTTCCACTAAGAATCTCCTTGAGCGTAGAAGAATTTCAAGTTACATACACTTGTTGGATGAAATATTTTTGGTAGAAGGGGGACAATAGTAGAAATTAGGAGCCCTGAGTAAAAGTCCCATTTCCACATGTGGTTTCAGCCAAACCTATCTCTCTGCCTTAGTTTCTTTTCTAAAAAAATAGATAGGTAAGTAATATTACCTGTCCTATTGACACTGCCAGATCAAATAAGAAAACTATGGAAAGAAGGTCTATACCGAATTTTTATGCATGTGTTTCTTTTATTTTTTAGTACCCAGTCCATGCTAGTCAATAAATACCATTGAGTTTTAAAAAATGAGGGTGTAACTCGTTTTCTGTTCTAGGAGAAAAAGGATTCAGTTTGAACAGTAATCTTTTTCAAAGGGGTTTTTCAAATTCAGTGAAACATCATTTGCATAGAAAAAATGAACAAAATAAAAACAACTCACACAGCTAGAACAGACTGATCACTTTTTGGACCTAATTATAACAACCTAGGGCAATTTCATGTCCCATAAGGAAATTTCCTCCAAATCCCTGCCAAACGTTGTTATTGTGAGGATGAAAGGAACAGTGCTTGGCACATAATCAAAATCCAACAATCAGTTGTTATCTTTCTAATGCAGTAGAAATTTTTATTAATAAAAAGTTTATGTCAATTTTTCCTGAAACTTAAACGTCATATGTTTTGTTTAGTTAGTCATTATCTTCTACAGCAGCCTACACCTTCCTCATTTGCTTCATAAAGTTGGGCAATCTACTTCCACAGTGATACTGCCTTGGAAACCCAAGGAGGGGGTTGCTATGAGTCAGGTCGACTTGACAGCACATAACAACAACAACATGTTCTTCCTACATAAAACTTAACCCTAGATTGTCTATTGTTCTGGGTCATTCACTAGCTGTTTCATAGAATAGCCTTAACTCCCCCAGATACTGATAACAGTTTTAGGGGGACCATGTATGTCCTGATAAAGGAATCACCCACTGCCATGGAGTAGATTCTCACTCAGAGCAACCCCCATTGGTTTTCAAGGCTATAAATCTTTACAGAGGTAGATTGCCTCATCTTCCTCCCACTGAACAGATGGTGGGTTTGAACCACCAACCTTCTGGTAGCAGCCAAATACCTTACCCACTGTGCCACCAGAGCTCCTTTGATAAAAGATAAGCCCCCCAAAAAAGATTAAGATCTGAAAATAATAATCCATATATTTTATTTAATTCATAAATAAATGAGAAAAACTAGTATGGTGGTTTAAACTAGGATTTGATGTACAAAAACTTATATTCTCTATCAGACAAGTATCATTTGCACTGCCATGGACAAAAATCATTTGCATTATTATCAGTGTTTTATAAGTTAATGTCTATCTCTATAGAGCTGTAAAATAGCCTAGAGAAATAAATAAGAGTGCATTACTGTGGCATTAGATATCCCCAGTTTGAGATGTTCCCTAGAAAAAGCAAGTACTCCATTGAAAAGACACCCAGTCATCTCTTTGGCCACAATTTTTCCTAATAATTCTCACTTCTTTTCTTTCTCCTACAGTGTTGAGCACAAAGCAGGCAGTGGTAATTCATACCAAGGCAGCAAATATTAGATTAAACTAAAAAAATTCACTGCCGTCAAGTTGGATCCGACTCATAGCGACCCCTCCTTGGGTTTCTGAGGCAGTATCACTACTGAAGTAGATTGTCCAATTTTTCTTTCCAGGCGTGGCTGGTGGGTTTGAACTGCCAACCACCTGCCACTTCTTGGAAGGAAGATTGGGCAATCTACTTCCATAAGGATACCACCTCGGAAACCCAAGGAGGAATCGCTATGAGTCAGATCTGACTCGATGGCAGTGAGTTTGGTTTTTGTTTGTTTGTTTGTTTTGTTTACTTCCGTAAAGATTTACCACCTCGGAACCCAATGGGGGTTGCCATGAGTCAGAATCTATTCGATGGCTGTGGGTTTGGTTTGGTTTGGTTTAGTCCTTAGGAAAGACCAAAAAGAGATTTCCAGGAGTGATCCAGATCTTTTGCAAAGGGCCTAAGATGAAGAAAAGGAACCACACATGTGTACCCCTCGCCTTTTTAAACAGTATTCTCACCCATCTGTCCAGCAGTGGTGTCAGAGAAGTCACATCCTGGGAAGAACAGTGAGAATTCAGAGGGTCTGACTTGGCATTCTCTTGTCTCATTGCTGGCTGCAGTGCTGGTCTGCTGTGTGTTCTGCTGATTCGTCCCATCCTTGTCCGAGTACATGACTACAGAAGAGGGCTGTGGTGGGAGAAGTTGCTTCTCCAGATGCTCTGCTCTCACCTTGGGGGAGAGTAGAAGGGAGAGAGCTGTTTTCCCTTTGGCCAAAAGATAAATCACCTTGGGGGATCATTCATGGTCAATTGGGGTGGCTAACAAGGAGTAAGAGAGAAGAGAGGGACACAAGTATGAATGAAGGAAGGACACTGGGCTAATCTAAGGCTGGCTCGCCTGTCTGTCACAAGTCAGGGAGAGTCCAGGGGCAATCTGAGTCTTTGCTTTATTTTTGTCCACATTATAATCAACTTGAGGAGCTCTGGTAGCATAGTGCCTAAGGCACTTGACTGCTAACCAGAAGGCTGGCCGTTCAAAGCCACCAGCCACTCCTCAGAAGGAAGGTTGGGCAGTCTACTTCCATAGTGATACTGCCTTGGAAACCCAAGGAGGGGTCGCTATGAGTCAGAGCTGACTCCACGGCTCATAATCAACTTGTATTTTTCTTTATTTATTATGTCTCCCCGGAAGGAAGATGGGGCAATCTACTTCTGTAGTGATACTGCCTTGGAAACCCAAGAAGGGGTCGCTATGAGTCGGGTCCGACTCGACGGCACATAACAACAACAACAACAACAACCCTACAGTAGAATGTAGGAGCTCTGGTAGCGTACTGCCTAAGGCACTTGACTGCTAACCAGAAGGCTGGTGGTTCAAACCCACCAGCCACTCCTCGGAAGGAAGATGGGGCAATCTACTTCCGTAGTGATACTGCCTCAGAAACCCAAGGAGGGGTCACTATGAGTCGGGTCCTACTCAACGGCACATAACAAAAACAACAACGGCAGAATGTAGGAGTTCTGGTAGCATAGTGCCTAAGGCATTTGATTGCTAACCAGAAGGCTGGCAGTTCAAACCCACCAGCCACTTCTCAGAAGGAAGATGGGGCAATCTACTTCTGTAGTGATACCACCTCGGAAACCCAAGAAGGGGTCACTATGAGTCGGGTCTGACTCGACAGCACATAACAACAACTGTAGAATGTAAGTTCCACAGGGGCAGATGTTTTTGTCTCTTTTGGCCTCTGCTGAAATCTTCAGTGCCTAAAACGGAAGGTAGGTAAGATTGCCACATTCAATTAAAACAAAAAAAAAAAAACCCAAACCCAAACCCACTGTCATGGGTCAGTTCTGACTCATGGCAATCTCATGTGTTACAGAGCAGAATTGCTCCATAGGGTTTTCTTGGCTGTAATCTTTACAGAAGCACACCACCAAGCTTTCTCCACTGTACCACTGGATGTGCTTAAACACCCAACCTGTAGGTTAGTAGGTGAGCAAAAACCGTGCCACTCAGGGATCTAGATTAAATACATTGTATTTTTATTTGCAAAATCTGCCAACCCTAAACATAGGGGACTCTCAATCAATAAGTGTGGAATGAATGAACACTGTTTTCCACTTGGAGTTTTTATTGGGAAACAGACAAGCCAAGCAAGGCAGCTGGGAAACTTACCTTCCCCATCCCTTCTGTGAGCTGAGAAGTTCCTGAGGACAAAGGAGGAGACAAGGATCATAGATTCAGGAGGAGGCAGGCTGGGTAATGGAAAGCCTGACATAGGCAACTGCTTGACAAAGGAGTTTGGGAGCCAAAAGATCCCCAAGGAAGTCCATTCTGCAGAGATCCTGGGACAGTAGACTGTTCTACTGCCATCATTGTTGATCACTTGCATAAAACATGCTATCCCAATGCTAGTCTCTATATTCCTACTTTTCTAAAATAAATACATATTGCTTTTAAAATCAGAAAATCCATAAACACCAATCTTTATTTTAAAGATCAATGCCTGATCCCAGGAAAAAAAACACCTAGAAAATGGGTTGCCATTGGCGAGCCACCTCCTCTGCGAGAGCATCTAGATTTCATTTATAAATGAGGTGGTTGGACCACATGACTTCTATAGTTCCCAATAGTGTTGGGGAAGCAATTGCTTTTTTTAAATCATAATATGCTCCATAGTATGGAGTCTATATGTATGATATCACATTATGGTGACCTAAACTTCTTCCCACCTGCTGTATTTGCCATAGAATGTGGAGGCAACTGTAATGTATGATAAACTGCAGTAGCGTCTATCAGATCACTACCCTGTAACGAACACCAGTCCATTAAGAAACATAGATTAAATATGCCCAGCACTTTTCTCTGTGTAGTTGTCAGGACGTAAGTGGAAAAACATATGATGACTTCCCACCATGGGCTGCCACCGTATTCCAAACATGCACAATTAACCATGACCAGTAGCCCCCAGATGTGTTAAATCCAATAATAGAAGTATCACAAAGTATCGTGACAATCTTCTCATTTTTTATTTTGAAAATTACTCCCCTCCCCAGTCCTCCCACATCTCCTTTCTCAGTTCCTACTCCCTTGAAACAAACAAACAAACAAATAAAACAAAACAAAACAAAAAACCTGAAGTTGTTTTTTTATTTGCTAGAAATTGCTACTGCATTGGAAAAGGGAAATTGTTAAGACTTCCCATGGAGGTGCTATGGGTTGCTGACAGATGTCTCACAGTCTCATTTTGGAACAGACACTAAACTGAGAGCTCTGGAGCTAGTCCCTTAAGCTGGTTGGGCTTCAGTTTCATATTTGACTGAGGAGTTGGACTTCACTAGATCACCTGTAAGGTCCCTGCCATTTCTGACTCTTTGATTCTATGGTTCTTTCTCTGCCCCATCTCCATATTGGTTTTGGGAGACAAGGGGACCTGGATTCAGTTTACAAGCAGAGACCCCTGTGTATTTGCTGTGAGCTAGACACTGGGCTAAGCACACAGATTGTATGGGGGAGTAAAGAGAAGGTAAGACAGAATCCTTGCCCTCAAAAACCCTCTGACTTCACACCCACATCCTCCCATCTCCTTCACCATACCCACTTGGCATCCCCAGAGCCCATTCACAGACCCTTACTTCTCTCTATCTTCCGTTGGTCTGGGTTTTTCAGTCGCCTGTGATTCAGATGTAGAGCTGGGCCAGGCATGTAGTCAGGACTCTCCATTGTCTCCTGCTCCTCACATTGGAGTCAGAGGGAGGGACAGCACTCATGCCAGAGCCATGCCATTGGCACAACTCCCCTGAGAACTCCACATAGATTTGTGTCTTGTCAAGATGCCACACCTCCACCCTTGTCCCTCCAGGCTGTGCAGAAACAGATGTAGGATAGGGATGAATTAAGGACTCTTTACCCCTTCAACTTGATTTTATGATGTGAGGTAATGATGGTTTCAGGGAAAGAAGTCAAATCTAAAGATCGGCCCACACAGACAGGACTGGTCAGCCCATGGCAGACCTGCCAATCTGGTAGTAATACCACCTGGCGTGAGATCCTTGAGCTCAGAGGACCAGTTGGCAATATCTTGTATGCTTGGGAATGGGTGGGTGGTGTAGCTGGGGGTCCTGGGAAGGGAGAACAAGTTGGAGAAAAACGACTTTGTATTAAAACAAAATTAAGTGAAAAAACAAAATGCAGAATGCATCTCCTAAACCTTTTTATCTTTGGTCCTACAAGGATTTGCAGGAAGGTGAGGGACAATGGAGTCAGAGAGATGTTGCTAGGGAGGAAGATTTGTTAGTTTTCTAAAACCAAACAAAAACCAAACTCACTGCCGTGGAGTTGGTTCTGACTCATAGCAACCTCTCCTTGGGTTTCCAAAGTGGTATCTCTATGAAAGTAGATCACCTAGTCTTCCTTCTGTGGAGTGGCTGTTGGGTTTGAACCACCAGACTTCTGGTTAGCAGTCAAATGCCTTAGGCATTGTGCCACCAGAGCTCCTATGTTAGTTTTCTAGGGCTGCTGAAATAAAGTATCCCAAACAGGATGGCTTATTCTATCACAGTTCTGGAAGCTACAAGTCCAAATTAAGGCATTGGTCATTTTGATTCCTTCTCAGGGCTTCTTATGGATTGAATTGTGTCTCCCAAAAATGTGTATTGAAATCCTAACCCCTGTACCTATAAATAGGACCTTGTTTGGGAATAGAGGTTTTCTTTTGTTATGTTAATGAGACTATATGGCAGTAGGGTGGGTCCTATACCTAAACACTTCTGAGTTGTAAAAGGAGCAGAGTAGAAAACAGAGACACATACAGGGCGAAGATGCTATATGAAAACAGGCAAAGACATTGGCAGATTCTTCTACATACAGGGCTTTAAACTGGTTCCAAACAGTTCAGTAATTACCATAGTAAACAAGGGTCATGTATGCATTGCATAGCAGCTAAATCTGTTGTCCATGGTATTTTAATCCAAGTAGGAAACAAACAGCTGTGCCTCATCATAGTCCTGCCATTTATATTGCTCTCCACAAGTTTCCACAGTCTTTCCTCTTGTAAGTATTAGGAGCCTGATGCAGGAGATTGTATTATTGGCAGGACTCTGGAAAGCAACTGTGAAAAGGGCAGGGAGGCAGCATCTTCTGACCTCCTCCATCCTCACAAGGGGAAACAGAGTCACCATCAACAGCCCAAGGCTTATTCCTACAAGGCCAGACATGCCACCACCCTCCAACCTCTTTACCAATTCTGACACCAATCTTCCCTCCCACGGCACTCACTACTTCTCTGCTGTGTTCGATAATTTGTTGCAATAGCCACACAGAACTCACAGACAATGCTCACAATTATGGGGTTTATTAGGGAAGCAACAGGTTACAAGTCAGGTTCTGGAACACTCTCAGGATTCAATTCTCTGATTAGGACAGTTTACCCTTTGCTATGCCCTCAGGCATGCCTCTCTGGCCCTTGGCCTCTCAGTTTGGCCTCTGCCCTGCTTGGGCAAGTGTTACAAAGCTCTTCTAGCTCTGCTGATAGGTACAGCTAGGTGCACCCCACTTCGCCAGCAAGTCTCCTGTCCAAGGGCCCTCAGCTTTCTTGTTCTGTGAACTGGAAAGCCCGCCACTCTGTCTCATGTCTCTTGGTTCCTCAGCCTCTTGTCTCAGCCAGTTTTCTCTGCCATCCATCTGTGAAGGAAGCCAGCACCAGGATCTTGGGTCCAAGGAAACACTTCACTCCACCTCTGGCTATTCTCTCTTGATAGCAGTGAGATCCCCCTTTCTGCCTCTAGAAATGCTCATTTTAAGCCTGGCAGAGTGACCAATCCCAACATTAGAGTTAAAACCCACCCAGTAATCTGGAATCACAAAGACCACAGCTAGAAAAGCCATACCAAGTAATATTCAAAATGGTGCAGTCTGCTGTCGTCTTTGAGTGGGGCACAGCTGTTTGTTTTCTACTTGGGTCAAACTACCACAGGCAACAGATTTGATTGTTATGAAATGCATACACAGCTGTTGTTTATGGTGGCAATTACTGAACCATTTTGAACAAATTCTAAGCCCTTCTACAGGCCCAGTATCTCCATGGATTGCCAGCTACTAGAAGCTGAAATAGACAAAGAAGGACCTCCCACTGAGCAAGGCCCTGAATTTGGACTTCCAGCCTCCTGATCTGTGAGAAAATAAATTTCTGTTGTTTAGAGTCACCCATGTGTGTGTGTGTGTTTTAACTATGGTACTAAGTAACTAAGACATTCTGAAAGTTTCCTCTACAAAATGGCTTTAAGATTGTGAAGATGGTACAAGCGGATGTGTGCAGTGCCTTTGGTGTACCTCCTGATATACAGTGCTCAGCAAATACTAGCTATTACTCTAATAACTCTCTCTAATAACTCTTACTCCAATTCACACAGTAATTTATTAACATCTAGCTCTCCCTTTAGACTTATAGCTACCCTTCCTTAGGTTTCCAATGCGGTATCTCTACAGAATTAGATTGCCCAATCTTCCTTCCAAGGAGTGGCTGGTATGTTTGAACCGCCAGCCTTATGGTTAGCCTTAGGCACTACACCACCAGCGCTCCCTTTTTGGTTTAGCTCTCCCTTTAAACTGCAAATCCTAGATGTGAGATTTCTGTTTTTTCTTTATTTGCACTTATACCCCTCCCACCTGTGCATCTCTAGTATGCTCTGTGCCCCAGAGGCCCACCTCTGAGGATGATGTCAGCAGTGCTTACAATCTAGCTTCTAATGGGAATCTACCAAGGAAAGGCAACAGGAAAAGATCAAAGGGGGAGAAAACAGAGACATCAGAGTGTCTTTTCCTCCACCTTCCTACTCTAGAGACCACAGCTCCTGTTGAGATCCTCCACTACACATTTCATCTACTTTGAAAGTGCTCTTCCCTTGCTCCTTCAGACACAACAGTGATGGTACTGGCTAGAGCACCAGGGCATAACACCATCCCTTGTTAGCTTTTCTTAAACATTCCCTCAAATCTTTGCAAATGGTCCCTCCATTAAACTTTCCTCAATCACCTTTCTGGACTGTTTACCATTTCCTGACAGAACTTTGATATGGTGCTTTATCTCCCTCACTCGTTTTTCTCAAATGTTGTCTCGTCCATGAAGCCTTCTTTGATACCTCTAAAAGCAAAACAAGAACAAAAACCTCAACTCACTGCTGTTCAGTCAATCGCACTGCATTGAGTCAATTGTGACTCATAGTGACCTCTCCTTGGGTTTCTGAGGCGGTATCTCTAAGGAAGTTGATTGCCCAGTCTCCTTCCCAGTCTTCCTTCCCAGGATTGGCTGGTGGGTTTGAACCACTAGCTTTCTGGTTTGCAGTCAAATGCCTGAGGCATTATGCCACCAGAGCTCCCTCTAGCCAGAAATAGTAAAACTCTTTATAAGACAGGAAAGGGCACCCAGAACTCTACCAACTCCATTAACTCAGCCTTTCTAAAACCTAGGCTTTCTCAGAAAGCACAGTATCACTGATCTAGTCTAGTTTTTCCCCCTTTCTCCCTATCATTTGAGAGATGGCAATCAAGGTTAAGATGCTTTCATTGACTTAGCCAAGCTCACAGCTGGTAGGTCTCCCGACTTTTAGCGTGATGATCTTTCCCTTGCCCTGGGCTATTCCTGCTTAATTGAGTGCCAGATCTGGGGGCTTCCTATGGAGAAAGAGTCTCTGGTCCCAGGTATTTGGGTGCTGGAATTGGTAGTTTTGCCTTTGCATTCAGGCAGAGAAGCTTCTTGTCCAAAAGGTCCTTCCATGCACAGAAGATGGAGGCAGCCACCGAATGGTACAAGAGCAGGGGCCTAGGGCAGGGTAGATATCTCCTGGTGCATGCTCATATACAAGGTGATGGGGAGGGTAGACGGCAGAGCTGTGGTCTCACCTCAAGATGAGACTTTTTTTTTTTTTTCCAGATATGAAACTCTTTTTTAAAAATTTTTATTTATTTATTTTTCCTAAGGATATATAAGAATATCTACTGTATGATTTTTCCTCTTTTTTTTTTTTTTAATTTGCTTTTGCCTTTAGCTGAGTTAATATATGTCTAAGGAGGGGTCGCTATGAATTGGGACCAATTGGATGGCAGTGAGTTTGGTTTTTGGTTTTCTGGTTAGTGGTTTACCCTATCTTCCCCTTCCACACCTGGTAAGCCTCAAAAATATTTGTGTGTGTGTATGTGCTGAACTTTTATCTTGACTTTTTACAATAATGGTCTCATACAATATTTATCCTTTTGTGATTGATTAATTTCACTCAGCATATTGTCCTCTAAGTTCACCCATGTTATGACATGTTTCACAGATTCATCATTGATCTTTAATGTTGTATAATATTCCATTGTGTGTATGTATCATAGTTTGTTTAACCATTCATCCATTGATGGGCATTTAGGTTGTTTCCACCTTTTTACTGTTGTGACTAGTGCGTCAGTGAACATGGGTGTGCATGTATCTGCTGGTGTCATGCCTCTTATTTCTCTAGGATATATACCTAATAGTGGAATTGCTAGATAATATGGTATTTCTATTTTTGGCTTTTTAAGGAAGCACTATACTATTTTCCTAAGGAGCTCTGGTGGTGCAGTGCCTAAGGCATTTGACTGCTAACCAGAAAGTTGGTGGTTCAAACCTAGCAGCCATTCTGTGGAAGGAAGACTGGGAAATCTACTTCCGTAAAGATTTACCACCTTGGAAACACAAAGTCAGA